GCCCGCGCAGAGCACGGGTCTGTTCGAGGCGGCTAACCGGGAGTTCGAGAGCACGGAGGTAAGCGCCCCAGGCCAGCCCGGGGAGGAGCGTTGCCGCTGGGAGCCAGCTGCTCGGTAGGCCTTCCTGGTTGCCACAAAATGGTGCAACGAGAGCTCATAATAAACTGCTTAATGACTTTGCACCATGGCATCCCTTCTGCTGTGGCCAAGTGCGAGCTTCTTGTGAGCCCTGGACTATGTGGTTTACGATGGACGGTGCCTTGCTGCAGCGTGTTTTCTTAGTTTGATTCCCTGCCCAGGTTAACTTGAGGAAATAAACGTGACAGTGTTGTCACATTAGAAGCTGTACCAGCACATGGAAGCCATCCTTTCCCCTTAGGCGTAAAACATTCTTGCAGTTGCATTAACTTTTGCCTTTTATACTTGGTTCCTTCAAATTCTCCCTTACATTTCATGCTTTTCTGTGATCTTTCATATCCTCGTTAACACATACGGCTTCGCTTCAGTCACTGAATTTTACTATGCCTAGTAATTTCCGAGGGCTTTTTACATATTGTTGAGTCACAGTGGAAGGCATTTGGGTACCAGTGAAAAAAGCAGCTTGCCAGAAAATACAGTGTCTAATTAATGGCTCCACCTCCCTTACTTTTAGTCTGGAAGTGACACTTCGGACATTTCAGAAGAACTTTCTACCCAAGATGGAGAGGGAAAGGCCCCAGGAGAAACAGCATCTGGTTTGAAAACTGGACTGGAGGACTGTGCTTTCCCTGACACTCAAAGGGAAGAACGACCAACAAGCACTTGCTCTTCTTCCGGCGTGGTGGGAGAAGTAGTAAGAACTATGCAGCACTTCATGGAGAAGTTCGACATGGACCTGTTCACTGTTACACAGGCCTTTCTGAAAAACACCGGTGAAGTGGAGACTACTTTATACTTTCTGCAGACAGGGCAGCGCTTGGATGGGTACCCTGTATGGAGCAGAGAGGATGATTTAGAATTGCAAAAAGATGATGAACATGTCAGAAATAAATTGATAGCAAAATTTGGAGCTGAAAACGTAGCAAAGCGGGTAGCATTTAGGAAAAGTTAGATAGCAAGGCCAAGGAGAAGGACTGATCTAGGGCTGTGGCAGGAACTTAAAGTCGTTTTAGAAATGCAAATGTGATGGAGAATTTCATGCTATGTTCTGAAGTTACATAAATGCTGTAAAATAATTTTTTTTATAAAAGACCTATTTTGTGTTTGATTTTTGTTTGTAATACTGAATATATGAAACGTTTACAATAGAAAATGATGAAGAGCAAGATTCTATACAGTATCAAGTTTTCACTGAAAATTTGCTTTAAAGTGTGTATCTACTGTATAAACTAGCGGATAGTCCTAGCCGTACGTTGCTGCGTGCAAAGGATTTCGAATTGGCTTGGCACCAAAATCTGACAGACTCACATTAAGTGCTGTAACGTGTTATTAGTCCACAATAGCAGCCTGCTCTCTGTCGTGTGTCTGTTACTTCAGACTGTTGTGGAAGATCATTTATAACCTGCTCTGCCAGCTGTTGTCATTACCTTTGTTGTTGTTAATGAACCTTGATTAGCAGCAGACATTTTGAGATGGTAACAACGAAAATGTAACTGTTCAAAAAAAGGGATCAAAAACACTCATGCCAGAAGATGAGGCACTTGGTCTCATAAATGAATGCTGAGATGTCTCATAGTGGCCATGAGTACTGGGAATGGCCAAAAAAGGTCACTGTGACATTGTAATATCCAGTCTTGTTACAGAGATCTGTCAGTTAAAGCCTCAGGCCGGTATAGACAGTCATCTCAATTTTTATTACCACTGCAGCTCATGTTCTCCACTGCTAATATTGCAGGGTTTGTTTAATAACATTAACTTCGCCATCTTGCTTTGTGACTTCAAAACCAGTCAATACCTCTGCCCCAGCTTGCATCTCTACGCATTGAAGAGCCCTACCTTCTTTAATCCCGGCGAAGTACCAGACCATACAGTCTAGTTGGAAACAGTAGACCAGCTTTCAGGGCCACGTGCAATAGCTCAGTAAGAGATAAAAGTCAGGAAACAGTGCTCAGAGTTTATTTAAGTATCCATCACCAAAGTCATGTTTGAGAGAGAGAGAACACCATTGCTAGAATGCAGTCACAATGGGGAAGCCTCAAGACTTTCAGCCTGAAATTGTGCTCTGGTGACTATTTCAATGTTATTTGAAGTCAGTCCTGTAAACCTGGAATTCATTCTTTTGGAGAAGTTATTGGGGCTAGTAAAAGCAAAGATTGGGGGGAAGAGGTGTCCCACTTTTCTTTTGCCCCAGTGCGGGCAGCGCCCGGCGCACACCCTGCACCGCGGCCGCAGGCTCTGTAGAGCTCTCCAAGCGAGCACAACAAAGCAGAGCTTTTCCAACCGAGGTGGAATTCTTTGTCTTAACGCATCTCCAGCGGCTCCGTGGTCTGCTACTTGTTTGGTGGGGGAGATGGCCTGCTTTGCAGAATGTCATTCCCCGTTCTCCGACAGAGCTAGCGGGAGGCACTGCCGTTTCTAACACTTACCTTGATGTTATTAGAATCTGTGAGGAACATGGTGAAGCGATCAATTCCCATGCCCCAGCCAGCTGTAGGAGGGAGGCCGTACTCCAGCGCGGTGCAGAAGTTTTCGTCAATGAACATGGCTTCGTCATCCCCCGCAGCTTTTGCCTAAACGAGGTGAAGGAGATCTGTGATGTTACTCACTCTCATTGCTCATACTCACTTTGAAATTTACTATCGAGCAAGTCCGTTAACATCAGTCTATTTCCCTGGGTCTGGCAATTGTTTAATCCTCTCAGGCGCTGTGAAGCCATTAGAGAGAGTAGGAAGAACAGGAAATCCATTTCTGCAGGCTGCATCATCTGACCTCAATCACGTGTGGGCACGCATGCATTCATGGATGCGTAGGCCTAATTAATAACAAAACCTGTTTGCGTCCCGCCTTTCTGAGGCTCATCTAGAGAAAGCTGGTACTATACATTTGCAGGCCTAACAGTGTCCAGTCTGCAGCTCCATTCTGTAAGCCAATTTAAGATAGTAATATCTCAGTTCAGGAAACGAGTCTGTTTCTTACACACCATTCAAACTCGTTCGGGACACGAGCATTTATTTAAGAACCTGGAAGTATGATGATGTATGACTACATCAATGCTTAACTGGGGAAAAATAACTTTCAACCCGAGCAAGACAGAGGAAACGCTTTGCACATTTGCTTTTTTCCAGATTAGCACCTCAGGTCAGATAGAAGGGAAGATATTCCAAAGCAAAGTCGCACTGCTAAAAAACTAATCGACAGCAGCGTTTGGACTTGTTTACCTTAGAGAGCAAGGCTTCTTTCGAAGGAATTAAGTTTCAATGACAGGCTTCCACTTGAGTGAGAAGCACTCGCTCAAAGTAGTGACAACCCTTTTCAGCAGCAGGGACGAACGACAGGTTTGGAACAGACATAGGAAATACTCTTTGCTTATGTGCCTGTATCGTGGATTCACTACCGGCAAGACACCCATACCTTGGCCTGATCCTCAAAAAGCCGCCG